GGCGTCCTTCAAAATATAATAGATTATTCTTGAACTCGAACTTAGAAGGATCATGAGACTTGGAGGAATAATTCTCGATATCATAAACAAGAGGGTCTGAGGACATACTGGACTGGATTTGCTTGAGAAAAGTTGAATCAACAGTCAATGTTGATTTCATTGCTCGGAGATGAAATTGCTCCGGTTTCAAGAGGACCGTTCTTTGTTCCTCAAAAGCTGCATCTCCTTCTTTTGGTGCAAAATAAGAACGTCTAGATAGGGCATCAGACAAACCTTGTTGTTTTCCTGGCCGATAAGTGATAATGAACTCGAATCTTGACAAAGACATACTCCAACGAGCTTGACGACGATTCAACACGCATGCTGACATGAAATACTCGAGGTTCTTGTGATCTGTATACACAATGACTGGATTAGAAGCGCCTTCTAGATAATGACACCATTCTTGAAAGGAATCCACGATCGCAAGAAGTTCTTTATCGTGGATCTCATAATTGATCTCGGCTGCTGAGAATTTTCTTAAATGAAAAGCTATCGGATGAAGTTTGTCATCTGTTCCCATTTGTGATAAAACTGCACCCAAGGCAAAATCTGATGCATCTGTTTCCATAAAAAATGCCTTGGAAAAATCAACACAATATAAGACTGGTGCAGAGACAAACGATGTCTTCAAGGCTTCAAATGCTGCTTCCGCTTCTTGATTCCATTGGAATTTATCTTTACTAGTCAAGCGTGTAAGTGGAGCTGCAATTCGTGAGAAATCTTTGATGAAGATCCGATAGTAATTGGCAAATCCCAAGAAACATTGGACATCTCTTACTGTCCTTGGAATCTTCCAATCCATGATTGTTTGGACTTTCTTAGAATCCATCATGAGACCATCATTTGAAATGATATATCCTAAAAAGTCAACTTGAGTAGTGTGAAATACACACTTTTCCATCTTGGCGTACAATCCTGCTTCTCTAAGTTTTTGTAATACTTGACGAACATGTATTTCATGTTCTTCGACGTTCTTAGAATAGATCAGGATATCGTCTAGATAGCAGACGACAAAATTGTCTAAGAATTCACGAAATACATCATTCATGAGATGTTGAAAAGCAGCTGGTGTATTTGTGAGTCAAAAGGGCATGACATTATACTCGAAATGTCCATACCTGGTTCGAAACGCAGTCTTCCATTCATCTCCTTCTTTGATCCGTACTAGATTATATGCTCCTCTTAGATCTATTTTTGTATAGATCTTAGCTTGATTCAACTGGTCAAGGAGTCCTGATATCAAAGGTAATGGATACCTGTTCTTGATTGTGATCTTGTTGAGTCCTCGATAATCAACACACATTCGTAAAGATCCATCTTTTTTCTTTACGAATAGAATTGGAGCTCCTGCTGAAGATTTTGAATGGCGTATGAAATTCTTCGCTAAATTCTCGTCAATATATGTCTTGAGTTCAGCCATCTCATCTTGCGATAAACTGTAAATTGGTCCAAATGGTGGCTGAGTTCCTTCCTTGAGGTCGATTTAACAATCATATGGGCGATGCTCAGGAAGAATATCTGCATTCTTTTTCTCAAAAACGTCTTGATACTCCTGATATTGACTTGGAATGCCAATTGAAGTCTTTATGTTTTCAGAAATAGGTGCAGCATAAATAGCAAAAGTTGATCCTTCTTTTGCTGCGTGTATAAATGCTTTTGCACCTATCAGTACGGATTTTACTATACTAGACTTATAATTTTTTACTTGGTTGGTAGAACTATTAATAACGCTCTGGGAAAAGTCAAGTTTACGCGAATTCCAATCTATTTGAGGGTTATATTTTTCTAGCCAGGATAAACCTAAAATAACTGGATTGGACGGGGATTTAATTATGTTAAAAGCTATGTAGCTATCATGACCGTCTATTGTTACTTTTATAGGATGAGTTTCATGAGTGACATCTCCAGAAGACAAGGGACGACCATCTATGACTTCTACATGTACTGGTTTAGGTTTCTGTACAAAGGGTATTTTACGACTTTTAACAAATTGTTCATCTAAAAAACATGTTGAGGCTCCCGAATCTAATAAAGCAGAGGCTTTGTAATTCTTAGGTCCTAAATATAAGTCTATTATAAAACAAGGAGAGGGTTCTGAGGAGAGGATAGGACCTTCATTAGGAATTGTACAAGGTTCCAGTTGCACGTTCCCTATTGTAGCTGGACGAATCCGTTTTCCGACATGTTGTCTTCTTTGACCGTCGTACCCCTCATTTTATAGTTGCGTCGTTTCTTTGGACAATGTTGAGCAGTGTGCTTAGGTTCTCCACAATATAAACATAATCCTTCTTGACGACGACGAATCTTTTCTTGCTCAGTTAGGGGTTTAAAACGTACCGCGTCAATTTACATGTCTTCTACTTCTGAATGTACGTTTGGCAAAGATGTTGATGTTGCCATTGAGTAATAACATTGAGGTTCCCGTGAATGATTCTCGGATCGAAATTCGAAAAGTCGATTATCACATTTTATCGCAAAATCGATTGCTTGACTCAAAGTTTGAGGATCAGGTAAGTTGAGCATCAATTTCTTTACTTCGTATTGCAATCCATAAAGAAATTGACTGATGAGTGCAGCATCATCCCACTTGATGTCAATTGCAAGTTGTCAAAATTGTGAAGCATATACTGTTACTGAGCGATTTCCTTGTTGCAGAATTCGGATCTTATTTGTTGCAACACGAGTTGCATCGTGTTCACCATACATAGATCGAAACTCCGCCAAAAAAGCTTCCAAATTGTCCAATATTGGATTTCGTTGTTCAAGAAAAGACGAAAACCACGATAATGCAGAACCAGAAAATAGAGTGCCAATAAACCTGACTTGTGATCCTGGAGTTGGATAGCTTTGCGGTTGAAGTTCAATTACCAATTGTACTTGATTGATGAATCCTCGAAACTTTGATCTCGTACCATCAAATTTCTCAAGTAAGGCAATTCTTGGTTCTCTAGTGCTTATAGGGTGTTGTACAATTGGAGAAGGAATGTGATTTGTTGTAGATGTTGAAGCAGCTCCGATCATCTCTATATCTCCACTTTCTGCTATTCTTGTTCTTTCCTGTGTTGGTGAATTGAGTTGATGCATCGCAAGCATTAACTCCCTCATTTGCTCTTGCATTTGTGCCATTGCACTCTTCATTTCAACAAGCTCTGCCTATAATGACACTAAGAAGAAAAATTTGTTTGATATTGCTCAAGACAAAAGAAAAGAAAGACTTGATAACAAAGAAGATACTAAGAACAATATCAGTTTAGAAGTGGGTAATCCGCAAACTTCTAATACGCTTATGTCTTGTCAAGAGAAAGGGGTAATCCACTCTTACTCAAGAAAAAACAAAGCTCTGATATTGTAAGTGTACTCTTGTCAATCTGTCAAGGACAAAGACTCGATGAGGGAAAATATACACCAAAACGCTATCTCGATATAATAAGTCAAAATATAAACAAGTAGGTATATTAAAAGGAAACTGGAATGGCTATTGCCACAAGACAAGAAACTAAAGACTCTTGAACCTGGACTAGAAGCAAGAAAGGAGTTGACAAGAGTGAAGAAGCCTTCACTCTTGTCTCTATATATACTATCTAACTAGGGGCTACGTGGCGACGTTCTATAGGACCTCCAATATGTGTTGACTTTGTAGGACACATGCCTTGACTTACAAGGCAAGTTTTTCTACGTGTGGGCCACATAGTTAGCTTGATCTTCAAGCTAACAACATGTGTGGCACATGGCCAACTTGTTGACCACGTTTCTAATCCAAAAAGTCAATTAAAGACACCTATGAAGTCAAAGCAGCATCTAGGAAGTTTTTAGGAAGCTTCTATATTAAATATTATAGAATTAACTTACTTTTATCTACTTTTACTTACTTCTACCTATTTCTATATGTAATTATTAGCTTACATGATTATGGCCGTGACAGATGTACATTACAACTAATGACTATTAATTCTTTTATTTTTAGTTACTTAATCTTCAAATATATTATTTTGTAATATATACATATATATATATATATATATATATAGAAAAAATTAATTTATACACTCATTTACTAAATTTATCCATTCATCTTAACCATCATCAAAAAGTTTTACTTTAAAATCTACATTGGTTGAAAACTAATAAAAAAAATGAATGGATCCACAACTAATGATGAAAGGTGGGTCAATTTAGTCAATTTATGGATCAATTTAAAAAAATTCTGTATATTTATTTATTTATTTATATTTCATTAGACACATGTTTTTAATGCACTACACAACATTCAATAATAAGCATAAATTTATGATTACAATTTAAAGTACACAATAACATAACAATGGGCACACACAACATTAAAAAATTTACAAGCCATGTATGATGTAAATTCTGGAAGAGAAACTAGTAAATTTAATGAATCTTAAGTTCCACGTCTATTAGTAAAATTATAACTTCTTGTGTAAGAATTTGTTGACTTGAGATCATTGCTTTTTGGAGTACAAAGTTCAAGCCTTTAGATAAAGTGCACCACAAAGCTTCATGCACAGACTTATTGCACAAAGCAATTATAACTTATTGACTAGATTATTGTAATTTATTTGTTCATAATTTTAATTGAAAATTTAAGACAACTTCTCAATTATTTGTTTCTATTCTGTTATTTACTAACACCGCAAGGACAAACGACTAAATACATTCAACATATTCAAATTGTAAAAGCTGGAAGGAATTCAATGATAAGATTTTTTTCAAAACTTAAGCAAATCAACAAACTAATAGACTGCACAAGATAACCATCACAAGTCACACTACAGTAATACAATTCTTCAAGGACCAATGCATGTTGTTGTAAGGTTTGCAATATCCTCTACCCCCACACATGGACCTAACAATAACTTTTTGGCGTTGCATCAAATCCAATGGAAGGGAATTTAGTATAGTTCGACACAAATGCTCATACGATATGTTTAAGTTTTTTATTTATTTATTATTAATCTCTATAACTTGTCCAATGGAGTCTTGCAAGCCTTTATCTTCGATTGTAAAGTCGACCTAATCTACCCGCATCAATCATTCGTCATTGAAAGTGCTTAAAAAGCCTACAATCACAGCTGAGCACAAATTGTCGTCAATCCACCTCGGATTTGATATATATATATATATATATATATATAACACAATAAATAATAAAGAAACAACAGAGTCGCCCTGGCAATGTGTTCTCCGCAAGAGAAACGATGCCTTTGACTCCCCCTCGCATGGTGTCTTTGCTGTTGCTGCTTTCGATCCGTCCATCGGTGGCGAAGTTGCTGACACCGAACTGGGGTGCTTGTCAATTGCTGCGCATCATCTGGAACCCCTGAAGCTGGGACGAAGGAGCTCCCATCACAGCACGCCACCAAGCTCGAGATAAGGAAGCGCCGCGAGACGATTCTCCATCGACCCCACATGCAGGTTTGGTCGCGGTTCTCATCTGGAATTCCTTTTTTTTATTGTTGGGTTTGGACCCTTCGATTTCCCTTCGTGACCCAACAAGCTGCGCACCCGCGGCACAAAATGCTGCAGGATTTGCCCAGCCATCCGGAACCCTAGGGCTGCCGCGCTTCGAAAGACGGGTGGAGAAAAGTGCAATACTCACCAGCTCGGTCTCCACTTCTCCTCGTCCGATGATTGTTCCGAGTCCTTTCTCGAGCTCTCGATCGGCAAGTCCTGTCTTTTAGTCCATGTTCGGTGGATTCAACTCGGCCACGAAAACAAAATGCGTCTTGAAACGATTCAACGAGTATATTCCGAATCTTCCCTCCAATCACCCATCTGTTGTACTTGTAATCTAATGTGGACATTGATGTTGAATAGTCCTGTTGCGTAGATTGTCTTCCATCGCACACCGCAAAAGGCAATTTCCTCACACTCTTCTTCTCCTTCTGGGCCAAACAACGTTTCAGCAGCTGATGACAATTTTCTTTCTTTCTCTTGTCTCCAAATTTGTTTCACGGGCAGGCTTTCTAGAGTTTAACTTGTGGCTACAAAGAGTTGTGGAACGCCTGCCTAACAGGTGTTAGGGTTAGATTAAGTCGATGTGAGGAAAAGCTCTGCTTTGTCTGTTTCCTTTCAATTGAAACTCATGCTGATCCACGAATTTTGAATGAAGCTGCCCGAGTGGGTCCCCGTCCCTGCTCTCTGGTTGCTTTGCTACGGTGCTGAGGGGCTGAGGCAAGCAAGAATGAGTGCCTTCATGAACACTCCATTGTAAATGCTCCTCTAAAGGTTCCCAGAAAAAGAGGTTCCCTTTTTCTCTTTTCTAGAATTTTTTGGCAAAACAAAATCACATAAATAAACTGACCCAGAACTATATATATATATATATATATACACAGAAATGATGGTAAACAAAACTAACAAACTTTGTTTGCAAAGTGAGCAACCCAGTTCAGTTCATTTGATGTATTGAGGCAAAGAGTCATATGGACCACTCTGTACAGGAGTGCGAGAAAGTTGTATGCAGTTAATGCTTGCAATATGTTGGTGTTCATGTGCTTTTGTTATGAGTGTGTGTTTGAGGGGGTGGTGGTGGGGGAGAGGAAAGAGAGAGAGGACATGAGTCATGTATAACAAAGACATGTTTTCATGTAAAAATAAGTTAGTTGGTGATACTAATCCCATGAAGAGTGTCACTACGTAATTTTCTCCGTAAGTCTCACTTTTCTTTAGAAATACATACAGAAATATAAAGTGTTTGTTGTTTAATTAGAAGAAGAAGAAAAAACAAACAAACAAACAAACAAACAAACTACATTCCATTAACTAGCCTTCTGCTCCTTAATGTTGTCTTTATTAAGAGGGTTTTGCATAAGCACATGCAAAACAAACCAATGTTATGTTGTCAATGATAATACATAAACTTGAATGAAAACCAACATGAGTATTATCCATAAAAAAATGACGTGTATTGTATGGATGAGGTGCACTATTTCGTTACTCTCTTTTTCTTTTTTCTTTTTCTTCTCCTCTCTCTGTCTCTAGTTTGTCCTCTTTGGTGATACCCAGACCTACATTGAAACTGTAGGTTCCATAGGAAAATGCCAAATATTATCAATAACAATAATAATATAACACTATAGAAATACTAAGAAAGAATGCAAGAAGAAAGAGAAGGCTTTCATTAGGGTTCTATGATGACTCTGATTGTGGACAGGCTTGCAAAGGTGGTTTGTCTCTTCTGTCCAGGAATCAACAATTTTTTACGACATTGAGGGCATTTAGGACACAATTGACATAGTTCTCTGCGTACAAAAAAAACAAAAACAATAGCAAGGAGAGAGAGAGAGCGCGAGAGTGAGGCATCAAACCTGAAAATAGCTGTTAAAGCAATTGTCGGGGTCTCTTTAAGGGAATGATTGTGGCTATGGTTAGTGCCTAGAATAGTATAGATTAGATGGAGGTATTCCTTAATGCGCACAAGATGTTGAAAAGAAGAGGGACTGCCACATCAAGCCAACGAGATGAAAGACCGTATCCATTTTCGAAACTGAATGCAACTTGGATGGAGAAACAAAGCGAATCGGCCGGTCAATTCCTAATTCGTCGGCGATTTAATGCGTTCGGCATCGATGGGGTTTGCGTCTCGGATTAAGTTGCCCAAACCATCCTCCTCCAGCAAGGGATTGGCTCCGATGATAGGGAGATCAGCACTGAAAATTCAACGGTGATTCTCTTGCAATTGCCCTTCGATGGTCCCCTCCCAGAATTGCAACTTACTGTGTCAATGAGTCCCGTCCGACGCATCGCACAATGAACTTAATAATCACCAAATTCTCGGTACTCAGCTCGTGAGGGCAGCGTCGCCCCTTCACAATCGGAAGGAGGATGTTGTGAGCTTTCGGAGGGGTTTTGGATAGACCCTTGAAAGTTGCTGTGACGTGTGATCCTTGGTTGGAATTTTTGATAACTATGGCTTGCTTCCTAATCCCCGTAGACTGTGCAAGGTGGGTGTGCAACCATGCAGGCTGATTCAACCCCTGGGGCCTTGTTCACATTCCCCCGTCGTATCGTTGGAGCCCTTTCTCAACGTTGTAAACCTTTCCGTCTGGTCCTTTGCCGGGCTTGTGATAGGAGTATCGCCTACTTTGGCACGAATCCTGCTAATTCCAGGTGTGCCGACTCCACTAACCCTCCGGTATTTCTTTTTTTAAAGACGGAAAATTGTTTGGAAAATAGGGTTAAAATAGGAATAAGAAAAGGGTAGCATACGGCACGAATAGCTGAATGGTCAGCAAGGGAGTTGGAAAGTGAAAAAAGGAGAAATGCAATGTTCCTGCTAGTGCGAGATGTGATTCCCGAAGTGATTCAAACCTCCAACTCTTCACCAACATTAGACATCAGCTTACAACATCACAACATGAACTATTGAAACAAAACAAGTTGAAGGGCTTCGGTGTGGTCGAACTCTTGGAAAACAGCAGGTGCGCAATCACACTCCTTTCAGTTACTCAGACTATGGCAACATTCTCAAACACCAAATTGCAAAGAAAACCCTAAAAGGGCAAATCACATCAGCCATCACATTAAAATCTTGTTTAAGACGTGCCGGTGCTGGTGTCGGTAAGTATAGGGACAAGTTCACTTCGAGCCCTAATCCACGACCCCTTTTGCAGAATGGCTTCACAACACAACTTCTATCAACCTTCCAGATGGGGCCTCTCATTGCGTACCCAAATTTACTCTGCAAACTTTTATTTACCTTTTTTTATGGGTAACAGTTAACAGGATCAATAACTACTGCATTCGTAACATTGACTTATCAAACTATTAGCAAATTGATAGGAATTATTTTAAGTTTGTATTAATTAGAAGTTTGTTTCAAGTAATAAATGTTACATGCCTTGGCATGTGATTTGATCACACAATAAATTTGATTCACTGTTTATGTTGTTGAAGAAGTTATAATAACCTAAAACAGAAATATGAATACCAAAATATTAGCCAGACCGGTTTCAGTGTATTTGCTCGTATACCATTATATATATATATATATATATATATATGTACACTTATTTATTTAATTGTGCGTGTGTATATTTATTTTGTAACCAAGGAAAAAAGAAAAAAGAAAAAAAAACTGAATAATTCCTGAAAAAACTTCACGAGTTTCATGTACAATTCCATGTGTTACTTTGATAAATATCTTCTAACAATTATCTGTCATTTACTTTATTTTAAATCATGAATAATTATAACTTTTGATGACATTGCAATGAAATATTTGAAAAGTCTTATAAATATTTACAACCATGACTTGTAGTGACTTTTACAGATACAACTATCATCAAGTATTCAACAGTGCAATTCGCAAAATAAAAAATAAAAAAATGAGAAACAATATGAAATGTAGACTTAATGAAATCTTACAAAGTGTTTGCTTGACCATGGAGGGATATGCTGGACTGGATGAATGATGAATGAATGAAGTACCAATGAAGAATATATATATATATATATATATATATATGTTGTTATAGATGGAGTGCCCATATCCCATGAGAAGAAGTTGGAAGCTAGGAGGTTGTAGGAGCAGTAGTAGTAGGAGGAGGAGCAAATTTTGAAGGGGATCACATGGCCAGGCATTACATATCCTTGCAACCCCACATGGCAGAGGGCCAAACAAACCAACAATCAAACAAACAAACAAACCACTGTAACAACCAAAACCCATCATCATGAACCTACTCTGCCACTTGGCTCTAATTACGTCCACATGGGCACCATCCCCCCCCCCCTCCTCTCTATCTGCCTGCTTGCCCTTTTACTCCAACCTTTCATTACCCAGCTTGGCTTCCACCTCAGCCCTAATTGTACACTATTCAAAGGACCTTGACATGGAATGAGCTGCATGTGTGTTTTTCATGAGCCCTGCACCATCATCATAACCTTAGTATTAACCCTGGAAGTGTGAAAATCACAAACAGACACACACACACATACACACACACATCTATATATATATATATATATATGTATCACAAATGGTAAGAACCCATGTGTGACTCAGTATGGTTGCATAGCAAAACAGGGCAACTGCTTTAGCTGAGCATTCCTTCTTTGGACCCCCCCCCCCCACTGGGTGGCTGGAGGAGAACCTCTTCCTGCTTACACTTTCATTTAATGTCACTGTTTTTTTTTTAAATGATAGGTATGGGGCTCCATATTTATAAGCTCACTTCATTGTATGGTGGAGTAGTTTGTAATCTAATCATTCCATCATACATACATGAGACTCATGTGCATTGCTCAGTTCATAGATGTATATATTTATAGATGAAATTGCAATTGAGCAAAATTTGTGTACTACAAGATATAGTGTACAGTAATGCATTTAAAAAGCATGTAATAAATGAATGAAAATCCCCTACCCCTGTCCCTTTTTTTACATGTAGCACTGTACACACTATTGGGGATATGTATTTGGGAGAAAAAGAATTATAATATTTCTCGACTTTCTACCCCAATAATTGCATATGCGTATATATATACACGTATGTGTATGTGTATACATAATGTACGTGCAAGTCTGTTTGTATGTAGAAATATATAAATAGACATATATCCATTCTTAGAACTGTAAAGCTAATATCTGTCCATGAATCTAACATAGCGAGTCCTTTTCTAGACTTGTCTACAATTAGTGATGTTTTTTTATATTTGTGATGGAATAAAAATAATTTAGTGTAAGTTTGGATAAGCACTGTGAATAAATGTATACAGTTGCTGTTTATTGATTATCGTGTTTTCAAAGATCCAAGGACGATAGTTGTGAAGTTATTTTAAATGTGGGTAGTCTACAGCAAGTCAACAACCCTTTTGGGACAATTGCTAATTTTACATGCTGATAAGAAAAGTTTCAAAGAATAAGGGAAAGAAAAAGGAAATTGGGTCTTGCTAAAGTCCCAACTGACTTGGGATATAGTAGGACCCACAGTGCTTTAGCTTTCCCAGGTCCTGCACACAAGAACCAATGGAAAGGCTGAATGTGTTCTTAGAATAATAATAATAATAATAAAAAGGATTCCTTATTGGATAAAAAATGAGGATAAAGTGGAGCCCAAACTTTTTGACCTTTGACTCCCTAATGTGAACAGCCTCCTTGGGTAGCACCAATTTATTTATTTATTTTGGGTCAGGTCGGGTGTCTGCCCGGCCCAGTCCTTAGTCATGATGTTCTGAGAACGTACACTAGCAATAGATGCCTCCTACTCCTCCATTCTGTCTCTATGATTGGCATGACTAATATTTGGGAGGGGGTAAAAAGTCTATTGTAGTGGTAAATAATTAAATAATAAAGTGAAACTCATTTAGGAACTGGGACCAAGTTGAAGGATAATATATGTGACAAGAAGGATTTGATGATATTGCCATGATCAGAGGCAATGCCCCAACACCAGGGCCAAAACAATATACACATTAATCATCACGGTTGGACCAGTCCATGATGCCTTTTGATTTTATATTTTTGGCACTGGAATCAAACTTGAATATATATTTTTAAACATAAAATATAAAATATTTCATTTCAATTCATTTCATTGCTGAAGGGAAGCATAAACAAGACTGAGTAGCTGCTAAAGAATCATGGGTGAGATCACCAACATAGGGAACGCAATGTTCCCACACAATCAATGCGTGACTTGTGACATAAAATTAGTAAAATGTAATAAAATTTTAGAAGAGAAGGGGATTAATAAAGAGTATTTGGTGGTCAAATTAGGTGTTTAACTGAGGGTGCCAAATTGGACACTGCGTGTACAAACAACGTGCGTGTGTACACGGTTCATGACCATTCCGAATGACAGAGAGAAATAAAGATCCGTTTTTTCTTAATGCCAGAAGCACAGCTGTGCCCTTGGTCACTTATTTATAGATCAGGTTGGCTTCACGGTGTCTTGAATAGCTCCCTATCCATTAGCCGTTCCCTTTGTGTGCGCTCCCGTTCCCATCAGCTATTTCCAGCTGTGTGGGTGCATTCCCCTTTATACAAGGCTCTGGATTTTGTATCAGGCCTGTGGTTACTTCCTGATTAGCAGATTAGATCACAGCACGCTTGCAGATGAGAACTGTATTTGCCACAGACTGTTTTTCCAGCATGAAATCTCATTAGCACCCTGATTAGCAGATTAGATATTGGCATTCCCCCAGATGGGACTGTATTTGCCCACAGAAAGTGATCCTGGGGGGGGGGGGGCTGATTTCACAGCCAGGGCTTTTGGGGGTAATTTAGGAAACAGCATTCTGTGTTGGGTTTGTGTAGGGCCTTTGTGCAGCTTCCTTGCACATTCTAGGCAAAATCGCTTTCCTTGTTTACTTTCCCTCTTCTGTTGTGTGGATTGGCACAATGTGCAAGGCATTCTGTTTACATGCACACATTCACACTTACAAAGCATGGAGCTACAGGAAACAATTAAATGAGATTTTCGTGGTTTTCTGTTTTGGATGGAGGGTTGAGAAACAAGGGAGTTGCCAAGGAGTGAGGATAATGCTTGTAGTCAACAACTGTGGCAGGAATCTCAAGAATAGTGGGTCATGGCTCAAAGCAAGAAGATAGAAAATAGAAAAACAAATAAACAAGAACAATAAAAAGCTTTGTATTTAATCATCTGTAGTAATTGTCCACATTATTATTTCAATTTTGAGCTCATGATAGGGATAAAGGGCAGAGCTAATGTGGCATCATTTGGATTCCACTGCTATTGATTGATCAGTTTTTTTTCTGTAGTAAAAGGGAGAATACCCATTTGATTGGTGTGGTGTTGAAAGAGCTATTGTCAAAGGTTTCCATGGTGCATGAATGTGTGTGAGTTGGATTTGCATGCATGAGAACAGATGGAGAGGTGCCCTTGAAGCTGTGAGCATCATCTTCCTCTACTAGGTTTGCAAGTGCCACATATGCCCTTTCTCTTTCCTGTATCAATCCCACAAAAAAGGTGTAGGATGCACAAAAATAGACAAATAAAAAAAACACAGCCTGGGTAAAGACACAAAAGTGAAAGTGAAACAAAGCGGGGGTGGATGTGTCACATGACAGTGGTTGGAGCTGCCAGCCATGCTTGCAGGATCATTGAAACCTTGAAAAAAATGCATCTAGTGTGAAGAGGGGGTAGGGAACGAACTGGTCGGCGATGATTTAAGAAGAAAGCGGCAGCGGGTGGAGGGAGATTCCGCGAGGAGGAGGTGGAGGTGGGGGTAAGCAAGTGGGAGTGGAGTTGGGTAAGAGAGCGCGAAGCGGCCGCGTTGATCAGAGATTTTATTTATATTTTTACCGAGCATCGTCGCGAGGAACATGGTCGGCAATCCCAGTTCTGTAGCCTCATTCTGCGCATCCCTGCGCAGCTTCTGTCACAGCCTCCTCCGAATACGACGGCCCCCCACCTGCTGTGATACTCATCGCGGCTTCCAGCTCCCATCTCCAAGCCTGGCTTAGCCTCTTCCTCCCCCCCCCCCCCCCCCTGCAAAAGCCACGCTCTTTTCGCCTTTTCTGTACAAATTGTGCCCCCCCCCCATTCATCGATCTCTGGAGGCTTGGTTCTTCTTTCTCACGCCCGATCTTGTTTCTGTGAGGAGGTGCGTCTTCTTCACTTGCCAACCGCTTTCCGTTTGCCCCCCTCCCCCCTCAAGGCTTGCAGTCTTCCGGCATTCAGATAGCTCCCTCTTTCAAACGCACCAACTGCGTTTTTGGTTCCACTATTCTCTCTTCTTTTGCTCTTCGGGTCGAGACTTGGTTTTTTGTTACATCAGGTCGTAGTTTACAAGCAGCAGGGAATTTGGTGGCGGTGGGACAGGATCCTCGTCGTTTGAGGGTCTGGGCCGTGTGTTCGTAAACATTGCCACCAGTTTGAGATAGCGTGTTTGTGCAATCTTCTGTCAATATTCGGGTATTGTTTTTGGTCCCTCTGATTGCGCTTGGTCCATTCTACCGCAGTTCCTGAAAATCGGTGACTACGGATCCACAGAGAGTCAAGATGAGGATACAGTGTGACGTATGTCAGAAGAATCTCGCCTCGGTCATGTGCTGTGCGGATGAGGCAGCGCTCTGTGCCCAGTGCGACGCTAGAATGCACACGGCCAACAAGTTCGCCAACAAACATGTCCGTGTTGCTTTCAACGCGGCACCGGAACCGCCTAAGTGTGACATTTGCCAGGTATGTTTGGGTTGTCTAAACTGTTTCCTTCACTGGCTTCCTGCTTAGGCACCTTTGCGCCTTTCAAACAGGGACTTGCCATGGAGAACGTACAATCTTCCTAAATCGCATCTTTCAACCCATGGATCCTTTCAGGGGCTTAAGTATCGCTTAATGTCTTGTGAATGGCATGGCGGTTAAACACCTGCTTGTCACTGTCACACTAAATCACAACCACCTTCTCACATAATTTTAGCAGACGTTAGCATGGTGTTTTTTCCGTAGCTGGCTGCATGCTTGTATGTAGCTGATGCACTAGGCTCTTCTCGCAGAGTTGATAACTTTCCTACGTTCTTCATTGTGCTAGAGTGGATTTGCGGAACTTTCGGAAAGTTTTTCTAGTGACGAAGAGAACCTGACGGTGTTTGAAGTAGGCCTTGGAAGTTCTTAGCACGGACCGATAGAGTTTGATAAGTCGTGTGTGTCTTTATACAGGTCTTAAGCAGAGGTCTTACCGTTAATTTGAACTTGTACTTGCAGGAAAACAGAGGGTTCTTCTTCTGCTTGGAGGACCGAGCGTTGCTCTGCCGTGACTGTGACGTGTCTATCCACACCGCTAATACGCTCTCCTGCAATCACCAGCGCTTTTTGGTGCCAGGAACGAAGGTGGCTCTGGAAGAGGTCGAAGATGATGCGGAGCCACTCACTCCAGAACGGACCTCGTCGATGCCAAGCCCGGCCGCTTCATCTATTTCGCAATCATCGAATTGCAGTCGCGCATCGATGTTCTCTAGCCCGACTTCAATTCTTCGAGGCCCCCGAGACCCCACCAGCCAAACTGCGAATACTAAGACTGAAACAGCATGCAAGGTTCCATCAGTGTTTTCGTTCTCTCCCTGCTGCCCACCTACGTACTCAGGAAACGTTCAAAGTGTTTCGGAGATGAAGGTTAGCCAGGAGTATCATGCACCTGCTGTCCCACAGATGACGTCGCAACCTTCCATGGGTGCTCAAAATGCTGCATGCATGAAGAAGAGCAGCATCTCTGAGTTTTTGACGGATGCAGTGCCCGGGTGGCGAGTAGATGAGATTCTTAACTTCGCCGACTGCACGGAGAACTTTAACACTACTGACTTCGCCTCTACGAAGGTGGATAGCATGATTGCCGTTGGAGGAGACTACGACTGGACCTCTGATCTGAGCCTGTTTGAGGAGCAGATGTTTGCCATGCACGAAGTGCCGCAGTTCCCAGCACCTGAAGCACAGCTTGCTGCCCTGCCGAGGTCTATGCGTGCCCCAAGGCACATCCGCAACAAGCCCAAGCAAGAAGTATTCCTTCCCAATGGCTATGAGGACGCTTTCATTGTTCCCGACATTAGAGTCCTTTCAGGCACCGTGTCACCTCCAGTGCCGAAGAAGATGAAACGTGATTTTTATCACATTTAAAAAGAAAACCAAAAAAAGTCTAGCTATGTCCAGGATTTCTGCAAAAAGCTCTCGCCAGCCAAGGCACGTGACTCCCTCTCCAACTGTCCATCGAGGGTCTCGCGGCATCTCTCGACTCCGCAAGAACACAGTGACGAGTGAATTCACGTCTTGCTAGATGGGGTTGTAAACGCACAGATCATCCAGAAACTTCCCCATGTTCTTCGAGAGCTCCATTCTATGTACTCCTCCACCCCGGGTAAGCAAGTGGCTGCGTATGTTCAACTAGTGCATAAATTTTGCTGGTGAAGAATTTGCCTGTCGGCCTTTTTCCCAGCATGGGTGTGTTCCATGTCAGAGAGCTCGTTTCTTGCCGAGCTGGTGCAACTTGAAGACGATGACGGCCGCGTTTGCGTTTTTCAATAGTTTGTCCACCGCAAGAATGTCAGTACTTATTTTTGGAGCAGACTCCATCACCACCATCATCTGGTGTGTTTTTCCACATCTCTCCCGACTTGAGTGGAAATGTGAATAGCGACGAGCATTGCAGCGGCAACTGCGAGACAGTTTTTCACCTGAAGAAGAGCCTTGTATACCCATCAAACCATCGTAAAACGGTGGCGGGTTTTTCCTAACCAACTTTCTTATTTGGGTAACTGGGCTTATCGCCCAGACTGCTCCCTGCAGCCACGCGGGTCAATAGCTGCCGCATTTGTTAGCAGGTGTTTGATCATCGGAGCGCATTATCAGATTGTTGAGTTCGTCATGCAAGAGGATGATAGTGGCGCCTGAGCGTCTTTAGTAGCTCAGGTTGCTTCTACTTTTTTGCAATCTTTTTTCACCCGTCTGTCTTATCACAGCAGGTTGATCGCAGCGATGATGTTATCATCTGTAAATCCCACTTCCATGTACAGTCTAATGTGATAGTGCTAACTTCGCACCATTCTCTTAAGAGAAATGAAAAATTGCTACCCGCCATGTTTCTCTCGAAGTGTTCATTTATGGCTTGTACAAAACGTATATCGTCTACCTAGTCCATGAAGGAGCCTGTGCTGTTATCGGGCTGTTGAGTACCTGCCGTCGCTCTGGTTCAATGATCGTGGAATAATGTTCGTTACTTGGGCCGGATACTCATCCTGACGAAATCTGATGTATTCAAAACTTTTCTTTTGAATCTCAATTCAAGATGCCGCCGTCCTGTCCGACTGATACCACCTTCACTATAGTTCTACTGCTTCACTTTGTCACAACTTCCCGTTGCCAAAGTTGCGCCGTGGGGAAAGAAGATAAACAACGGAACGCCGATGGAGCCATCTAGGACATCAATCGTCGTGGGATTCCATCGGTCCCACGATGGGATCTGTATTAACTTTATCCATTAATTGATCGTAACAAGAGCAATACATCTTCAGTCGCACATCCAAATTGTTCATGTGAAAGTGATGACCAGTGTGGTTTGTACCCACAAGTGATAATCTGACTCTCGTCGACGTTGTAATTCACAGAAGTACTGATTGAATATCTCTGCACCACAGCCGGTGATATTCTCTGCAGCTGTCATGGATAAATACATGGTGGTCAAGTCTGTGGTAAAGGGGGCTCCCCAAGTTCACATCACTGTTATAGAATGTACAGAATGTACAGAATGTACTCATCTGCTGAAGAAGATCAGTTACCCTCTAACTGTTTATATTTCTAAATGAAGGAGTAAAAACAATTGTATTAACTATTTGTGATTACAACCTCAGAATCTCTTAGATATGATAACTTTTTTTTAGATGTTTCTTTTAATCACTTGGTTTTAAAGACTCACAGGTTTATATCCTTCTCTGACATTAAAGTTGTATCATTATTGATTTTATGCACAATTATTTTATAAAATCTAGTGTTATAACTATTGAGAATGTTTTAGAGAAAGAGAGACAAGAGTAGCTAGAAGTAATATGCACACATATGTAAACACACATACACACAAGGAGTGAGTTTATTGATAGGGCTATATCTCTTATACAAAAGAAAAGGAGAGAAGATAAACAGTGTCTCTCCACTATATTCTGAATACTGTAGCTATAGTAAATATTGTAGACTACAATAAATAGCATGGAGAGTGTTGGCTACATTTAATGCTTTCAACACTCCTCCTTGTTTGTCATAATATTTATATGCATAGAATTATGATCTATATTTTTATGTAATCTTGTAAGATAAACAATTGCTACCTCATTAAAACCTTATGTAGAAAAACCTTGTTATATTTAAGAACAAAACCATAGATAAAGGAAAAAAGAGTACAACATTATCTGAAGAGTTCATTAACTTTTTTGTTCAAGAAAAGCAAGTTGTCACATGCCAATGCCATAAATAAGTCGACGATGGTTACACAAAGAGAGAGCTTTGGTGAAGAGATTAGCAAGGTTATTTGTAGATTCAATTTTCTTGATCTTAAGTGCTTGATTAGTAATCAAGTCATAGGTATAACTAAAATGCTTTGGATCAATATGCTTTCTCCTATCTCCTTTAATGAAACCAATTTGCATCTGTGCAAGACAAGTGCTATTATCTTCATATAAGATAGTTGGAGAATCATCATATGAAATTCCATAGATTATTTGAATGAGTTTATTGATTGATCACAACCAAATACATTCTTGAGATGCTTCATGTAAGGCAATAATTTTTGCATGGTTGGATGAAGTTACAGTTATAATTTGTTTCATTGATTTCCATGATATTGCAGCTCCATATCATAAGAATATATAGCTTGTTTGAGATTTAGTTGTTATAATATTAGATTTATACTCTGTATCAAAATATTCAATCAATTTTGGATCTGTAGATCATAAGTAGTATAATCCTAAATCTTTAGTACCTTTTGAATAATATAATAAATGTTTGATGCCATTCTAATGTCATAGTATTGGATGTGCACTGTGTCTTGTAAGAACACTAACTACAAATACAATATCTGGTTTTGTAGATGTGGCTAAATATAAAAGTGCTCCAATCGGTATAAGATATGGATATTGCTCTCCCAATATTTCTTCTTCTTCTTCGCACGGATGGTATGGATCATAACCATGATGACCACATCGAACCATTAATGTGGATAATAGTTAAGCATCAATCATATTGAATCTTCATAAGATTTATCTAATATATATTAATTGATAGAGGAAAATACTATCATCTGTGACATACATAATCTGAAGACCAATGTAGAAAGTTATTTTTCCTAAAATTTTTATCTCAAATTTATGTATAAGTAGGTTAATAGATGCAATGCATGCACATCTAATTCCTATTAGGTTAAGATTATCAACATATATAACAATAATCCCAAAACCAATTTTATCTTGTTTAATAAATAAATAAGGAATTAATAGATCACTTATAAACTTATTTATAATTCAATAATCTTAGAGACATTGATACTACATGCATCCAGATTGTTTTAGATCATATAGGGCCTTGTGTAAGTTAATACCACAATATCGTCTTGGAGCAAGTGCATTTGGAGTTCTTGTTTTTAAACCACATAGAACTTTTATATAAATATCTACATTAAGTGAACCATACAAATATGCAGTTACAACATCCATGAGATGCATGTCAATGGTGGCATGAATTGCCATTCCAATAATATGAATCCATGACTGGAGAATATGTGGATTCATAATCAATGCCAAATCCTTGAGCAATAAGAAGAGCTTTATAGCAGTTTATTTGATGCTTAGCATCTTGCTTGCATATTAATACCATCTTATATTCTACAAGGCCAGAAGTAAGAATATCTACAATTGGACCAAAGACTTTCCTCTGATCTAAAAATCATACTCTTCCTTAATGTCAGTTTTCTATTTTAACCACTTAGAGTAATGCATCGCTTCATGAATGGTTTGAGGTTTAAGATCTTCTTTTTCATAAGAAAGATCTTCTGCCATCATGAATGCAAATGATTCATCTATTATAATAAATAGTCTATTCCAAAGATTATTTGCAACACAATATAGAACAAATGATTTTGTACTCAACTTAATTTTATTCATCCTAATTTCAAGATTTTCTATTGCATGAAGTGAAGGTATAATGTACATGGACATATTGTCATTAAATGATGGTTTTGTAGATTTAGTAGGAACTTTGATAGAAATAATACCAGAATCATTATATGTTATAGCTTTCTTCTTTCATGATTACTTATATGATCCATAAATACTTTTAATTTTTGATGTTTTAACCTGAGGTATATTTGTTACTGGTATTGCAATTTGAGCAAGTTCATTTTGAGCCTCATTAATTAGAATTCTTATAATGTAAGATGCATCATTGAAGCCATTAGGTGTTTTATTTGTAATCCGTTTTAGATATAAAATCTTTGCAACTTTACTTTTAGCCAAAGATGTTCTAAAATCAAGATTCATTGTAAATATTTTTGGTGCTCTAAATGCAAGTATTATATTTCTTTATTAATTAAATACTCATTCTTGAAGAAATAGAAATATGTTCTCTTCAAAATAATAATTTTAAAAACATGCATGTAATAATATGCTAGTTGATGGGTCAATTATATGAATAATGCTTGGTGAATCAAAACCAATATATATATGCCTTCTTGTTGATAATAATGAAACAAGATGATAATAATGAAACAAGATGATAATAATGAAACATGTAATTATTTGATTGATGCATCAACGAGGACCAAAAAATAACAAAATGGTCTAGATATTGGATTAATAAGACTACAAATATCACCATACAATCTTTCAAGCATTGGTGGCAATTCTTGTGGGAGTTTCAAAATTGAAGGTTGAACAATCATCTTGCCTTACACACATAAATGACATAATTCCATAGAATCTGCATATGTAGGTGTTAAATTATGCCCAATTATACATAAAATCATCTTCCAAAATAATATAGATCTTGGATGTTTCAATCATCCATGCCAAAGAAAAACGTGATTCTTTGATATAGATGATACAAAATTAAATATAATAGGAGGCCAAATTGCAATCCAATATAAACCATTTGTTGCAACAAAGGATTTTTCTACAACTTTATGGCTCTATTCAAAAACCAAAACCTCCCACCTATCTAGAATTGGAGTTGAGAGGTGATTGCCATTGGCATGCACATCTTGGTAGTTGATCAAACTCCAAGGTATTGAGGATTCAAACATTGTATGTTTATATTTTATGATAGAACTTGCAAGCAATTTTATCATTGTTGTTTTCTCTTGGAAATGAAATGCATTTGTTCCAACCATAGTCATCGAATTTCTAGTTTGTCAAGTTGAAGATTTTTCAATAAAAAACTATCTATCTTGTAGGATAGTATGTATTGTTGTAGAATCAATGAATGCATCATTTGATTCATTATTAGAGGTTTTTTCATTCATGTAAGCCTCTAAATCATTGAGACCAATTGAATCCATGGATGCATCCATGATATAAACTTCATAAGCCTCAACTCAAAGTTTCTTATTTTTTTAGAATGTTTTAACAAAGTATTCTAAATTATAGTACACATCTGCCAAATATTCAATTATTCTACATTTATGGCAAGAATATATCTCTAATTTTTATTTTCTACTATAATTAGTTGTAGAACATTTATTCTTTCCATATAGGCAGAAATGGTCATGACCATGACTGATCTGGTACTTATGAGTATTTTTTCTATGTTTGTATAATTATTTTTTAGACTTTGGAATATTAAGTGTCTAAGATTCTGGAGTTTTAGTTCCAATAGGATGAGCTTCTACATTACACAAGAGTAGCTTGTTTTGTTTCTCCACAAGAAGTAAATAGGACATGAGATCATGATGACTTTGAAATTTCATATTTTTATACTGTTGTACAAGCACAACGAATGTAGGAGGAAATATAGAGAGAGTTTTTTCAATCATTTTTTTTTTCAAAGATGCTCTGTTTACATAATTATCATTGTGAGATAGTATGATATATTTTACTATTAAAAGCATTTAAA